TTTAGGACTGTGCAAACTAAGGAGAAGCTCTCTTACAGCACAGGTCTGGGCTTTTATCTTTTGCAAAGTAGGTATACCAGTGGGAAAAAGTAAAATAGCAATTCCCCTGGCTTATTCTTAGACTAGCACAACTTTGATTGCTGACTGAGACCCATGCCAAAACAATAATTTATGATAATTTTGGGGAACAGCAGCATCCCTCCATGGAAAATGCATTTAAGAGTGAGTAGGCCAGCATCTCCAAATGCAGGGTGACCCAGAGAGCTGCCATTTGCTGCTGAAATCCTTCCCTACCGAGTAACAGGAGAGGGAACTAATCCAACCTCGATGATTCAGGGCTTTTTCCACAGGGCATGTGTGGAGGGGTTTCTGGGGTCTCCTCTGGAGTACTGCACCTTCTCTGGGTCTCCTGGGGTCTCCTGCCCTACCTTTCTATACTTTGAAGTGTCCATGGTTAGCCCCGCACTCTGGTGCGCTGCACCAAGCTAATCATCGGCACGGAGAGAAAGGATATTGTCAGAGTGCAAAATGATCTGTTTTCAGGCAGGAAGCAGTCAACTAGATGTAATTTCCATGAAACAAAAGAAGGTATTATTTACAGTTTTATTGTGATGTTAATTAATATTTACATCTTGGAATGAAAAATAGAAATGTTAATGATTGGCTTTACTAAGAGGATCACTTGATGCCAATGTGAAAGCCAGGGAGAGAAGGCAATTATGCAAACATCACATGCATCCCAATTTCAGTATGGAAACTTACATTTCAAATCTCAATTCAGGAAAATAACATGGAAAGTTTGTACTACAAAATCTAAACATGAGAAAGATTTAAGAGAAAAAAAAAAAAAAGCACATTGCATATGTCAGATAATCTAGTCTGATTATCTGAGCTGTGCTAGCTACAGGGAAGCACTTACCCTTGAGTCCAGCTAGAAGTTAGCAGGGTAAGAAGGAACAAACCAGAATAACATAAAGACTAGCAACAAGGCTCAGGAAAGCAGACAGGAGCCCTAACCTAGCAGCTAAATATTTGGGTTCAAGCAAAGAATGAAAAAGAAACTTAAAGAAAATCAACCAAAAAGAAAACCACTTACAGCTGAAAATTTCTCAAGCAGCTCAATAAACCTTGCTACTTATTATGGGAGAACAAATCATCACAAATTCTCAAAACAACCAACTCACTGTACATGGTGTGATTAACAGTTATTAAATATAAACAGACATTAAAAACTAAATATAGCCACAAATGATACGTAAAACAAGTACACACCAATCTTTCATGTTAAAAAAAAAGGGCTTCAAGAAAAAAAAAAAATGTTGAGCACGTTTGGGAATTTTCTTTGATACATCACTAACACAGAACAAACAAAGATTGGTGCTTTCAGACAAGTGACCACTTTTATGAAGCTTAAATATTGCCAAAAGGTGTAAAATGTATTGGCAGCATTATTGACTATAATACTGTGAATGATTTCAACAGTAAACAAGAACAGTTTGGGTTTTTTTCTTTTATAATGTGAACACTGGAGAAAAGCACAGCTTTGTGTAAATGGAGTTTTTCTTTGAAATTGTAGCAAAACAAAAAAAGCAAAACTTTTCACTCTAACAGGTATTGTTCACCCACGCAAAAAGAACTGTAAGTCATACAAAAATTAATGAATAGCAGGATCTATTTTTTTTTTCAGTACTTAAATTGCAAATAAAATAAACTCCACCCTGGTTCGGAGCTGTCTGTTTACTTCTAAGTCAAGTGCTGCCATCGAACTGTGGATGTGAATTCAGTTGCTGCTCAAACTTTATATTTACTGAATCAAAAGAGGTGGGAACCAAACGGAATGCACTATTTCTCCCAAGTTTCCCAAACAGCAAGATAAGTGCTTCCCAAGTTTCTGTGCAACAGACAGCTCCATGCCAGGCACGGAGGGCTGGATTTTCTGTGCGTGTGCATGCATGCGCATGAGCCGTCTCGGACTGCTACGACATGGAAGCTGTAACAACAGTTACTCGTCAAATGGCTTAACATTTACTTCTTTGCACATCCTCATTCACCATAGCCTCTAATAAGCACAAAAAAAAATTTAAAAATATGACAGGTATAAAGATAAATGTACAAGAATAAAATGTCTCACAGAAGTCCTTACCTTTCTGTAGGCAAAAAAAAAAACAAACCGAAACCCAAACCCCAAAGCGAAACACCCAAGCCAAATAAAAAACCAGTAACAAACCTAGACCCTTTTAAAAATGCAATACTTGGTATGTTCGGATTTCAAGACTGAAGGAGCTGAGATATTTGTGCATTTAAGACTCCCCATATGTGGCTTGCATGACTCACTGTTGCTTCAGATCATTTAACTGCTGTGCCCCATGACTTTTGCAATGAACACTGCCATGTATAGATGTTGAAATATGAAAAATGAGCAGCCTTTCCCGTTGAGATGAAGGTGTATTATGGCATGTTGCCCTCCTCCTCTTGTAGGATGTGCACAAAGACCTGTCAGAGGGATCTAGATTCCAAAGGGGGAGGAGGAAGGAAAACCAAGGACAAAACCCACTAGCCCAGAAGATGCTCAAATAGTAAGTCATCACACTGATGAACTGATGACCCAACTAGTTTCTCTCTCCCAGGCTTTGGCACAACACATTCAAGAGGGCTTCCCAGCTCTTGCAGCAAAAAGGGGAGACTGACGCTGTGCAACTTACAGAAAAATACATTGTGGATGGAAAGAGGGTGGTGGTGTTATAAAAAGCAAAATGATCCAGATTTGGAGCTGGTATTGGCATGAGAACAAGTGAGAGAAACTGAGGTCAGATCCTGACTCCCTCAAATGCCCTGGAGGGCCCAGGGGGTGAAATCTTGTCTGTTTTCACCAGAAGCAGGGAAGAGGGAGCCCTGCCTCCTGGCAAGTGAGCGAGATGCAAAAACAAGGTCAAGCCTGTGGCATGTCTATAGCTCTGAGCACAGTCAGGCTGAGAGTCTGGAGGACCACAAGCAGCACAAGGCTCTGATGGACATGCTGAACTGTGTAGATGCAGACTTGACTCCTGGACCCAGTCACTGACTTCCCTGATCTGTGGCAAGGATTAGGACAAGTCAACAGCCCCTTCTCCACCCCAGGTACCTTAAGCAGAGAAGTTCAGCTCTCCCACACAAACAGTGCTTGGCTGTGCAAGCAAATCATACACCCAAGTGTCCACAGCCCTGGGCAATCCCTTTTTCTCCTCAAAATCCTGGCGGATTTTGCTACAGCTGCTACGATGTGTCTTGGAAACCAACACTTCACCTGACCCTTCATATTGGTCTGGTGAACTGAAAAATCTGTAAATATCAGGAATTTACGCAGGAGAAAAATTCTCCAAGCTTGATGTCTGCAGGGATGAGAGAAGACTGCAGGGAAAGGTGTTTCCTCGGTTTGATGTTCTCTGCTCTCATCCTGCCCTGCAGGGATCATGCTGGGATGAACAAGAGTGCATCCTCTATGCACCAACCCCACAACTAAGAGCACCCTTCAGATTCACTGGTTAGGAGAGGCAGGCACAAGCAGAATCCCTCTGTTGCTCTCCCTTGCTATGCTTTGAAGGCTTTTAGCATGTGAAAAAGCAGCAGTAGAAGGATCTGTGCCTGCTATTTCTGAGAACTCTGATTAAACATTCTGGGCAGAGGGACACAAACCCCTGGGAATGCTCTGGGGTCAGCACAACTCAGCTGGGCCTAGAGGCTTATCACAGCCAGTAAACGTCCACTTGCAAGAGGTCAATTCCTCCCATTCTGGCTTTCTGAGAGGTGTCCTTCTCTCTCAAACCTAGTTCTTTACATCTTGCACTCCCAAAGTCAGTGACTGCAATGAAGAGGATGAGTATCATCGAAATGAAAACACTGAGTATAGGTCACCACACTATGTTTCACTTGCAGCAGCAGCAATGCAAGGCAGAAGGGAGGCCAGAACACACAGGCATGTAGAAGATACTAAAAAATGAAAAAGCAGCAAGTGGAGGTTTTTTGCTGTAGCACTGGTTGTACAGCTGTATGTCTTGTACTGTTACTTTCTATAAATACAGACATGAAGAAGTCAAACAAATATAAAAGATGGTCAAGTGCTTGATAAGGAAAGCTCAGATTTTCTGAGTTCCTTACAACAATATACTCCATAACTGCTTTACAGAGACTATTTAAAAAAAAGTTGAAATCTATTTTAATCAGAAAAATTCTCTAATTATTTACCACTTTTCCTTATTTTCCTTATATTTAATGTTATTAATTCTTAAATTTTGATGAAACTAGCAAGAACTGCTGTATGTTACATAACAAAGGGGCTGCAGATGATTGAGACCTTCAAGAAAAATGAGCGAAGAGGCATTTGTGTGGTTTATAATCAAATTACATTTGCAAGAGAAAAGAAATTTCTCTAAATTTCAGATGAAGCAAAATGTGTATAACTGCATAGGACATGCAGCATAGCTACGACTTAAAAGATGATTGCTTTAAATTCACATCTAACTGGCCTGCAAAGCAACCTGTTAAAAATACCATATGTTTTCCTACAGTTGAATATTCAACAGGAGACCTCTTTTTGTGTGTGCATTTCATACTTGCAAGATTTGCACCTGTAGTTTTGAGCACGTGATGCATTTGACAGACAGCTAATGGTGCTAATGAATTGCTCTGATCTGGGTGTGCAATTTATTGTGTGGGGGTAAAACACGTGTCTGTGGAAAGCAAGGTGGGTCTCAGGCTCTCAGATCCCAGTCTCTCTCCTCCATCAAGTATTGCACTTTAAAATACCCACTGACAAGTTCCCCAAGGAATTTTGTTTCTTGGGTTTGGCTCTGTCAAACACACAGGTTAACTGCTTCTGGATCTACTAATATAAAAAGCAGCTTTATGATAATGAAAAAACATTTTGTTTTGAAATCAGAAACGTGTGTGAATATTGATTTACATCAGTGCAGAAAATCTCTTCATCAAAGACTTTGGCTGTCTAGGAGAACTTATTTACTTACAAAATTGAGAGATTGGAGCATCTATCTGGGGTACATTTCCTCCTTTAGCATTTAGCTTTTGCACTTGGGTAGGTGGCACAGGTTTGTGAGACTGGCCAGTGGCTCGGTACATGGCTTGGACCCACAGGATACGGTCCTGCTCATCGTCACTCGCAAAAATCACCGTGTCTCCTTCTTTCACAGCGTTGAAGAATGTTCTGCCACCATCCAAACCTGGCAGGAAAGGAAGTGACAATGCAGTTTCACAGACTTCGAGGCCAGCCAGAAGATCTTCCCTGGTTTCCCACCCCACCACTGCTCTGGTGTGTCATCACCCAGTCCCATGCTGCTCCCAGCTCAGTCCCCTCCTCTGCACCAAACTCACCTGCAACACAGCCCACAGGTCCCCAGGTAACCCAATGACTAAAACATGCCCCAACACCCTCAGATTAATTGCTTCTCTCACCTACAGCTCCATCTGTGCAAGTCCCATGCGGGCACCACTGGATCCCAATTAAAAATGGGGTTCGAGTGGGAGGCTCCCCATTAGACTGAAAGCATCAGTGCTCACAGTGCAGAAAAAGGTTCTTGGGTGATATCCTAATTTCTATCTTAGCCCTGATTTGGCACCCATCTGCCCATCTCCCTGATATGAGAGCAAAACTGGAATAAAGGTCTTGACAACCAACCTACATACTGTATCTTTTCTCATCTCCTCTGGGGATACCATTACCCAGGGTGTGGTGAGGATCACCATGCTCAGCATGTTGCCTCACTGAAATAAAAGAAAAATAGTGCTCATCCACTTGAAGAAGGGTCTCAACCACCACCAGGTACCTCCAGGTAGCAGGGGCTTTCTGTCCCTGCCCCTTCCATGCACTGACATCCATCCTAGAGAGAATAGGGCAGGCAAAAATGCTGGCTTGGTCCCATAAATATTTTCTACAATAAAGAAAAGCATAGCTGCGAGCCTTTAATTTAGGGAATATAATCTGAAGGCACAGGTTAGAATCATTACTCAATTTGAGCATTCAGCTCACAATTAAATTTCATTGGGATTTAAGTGTCTAATTCACTTAGGCTCCCCAGAAGAGATGAGTCTTTCCCTCCTTTGCTGCAACTCCTAGCTCAGTCCCTTAGCTCTATTTATAGTAAAGTCATGCATAGCTAATGATCAGTATAAACACAAACATATTTAGAATAATGCTGATCACAGTTCAGCTGCAGGCAGGGAGAGGAAGAGAGAGGACTCCCTTTGGAGTGGTGAGTGCAGCACCCGTGGGAGCTGCCAGCCCCGTACCTGGCTGTGGGTCGGTGTAGTCCACAGTGTATCCGTCGAGCTGCAGCAGCTCTTGAGGTTCTGCTTTTTTCTCCCGGTAGCTGCACATAGCAAATGTATATTGACTAACCTGAGGAAAATCACAAAGCTAAGATGGCACCGGGTGACCACCACAAGGCAATCAGAAGCGCTTATGAACGCTGCACGCCGACAGCGTGTTTGCAGGGGCTGGGGGTGGTGGGGTAATTTGGATGCTCATTGCCCATTAGAGACAGACTAAACTTTTTACCAGGCTTTTGCAGAGCCCTCTCTTAGCACACCCTCCTGCAGCACGCATCTGATTCTCCGCATCAGTACATACAGCGGTTTAATTTCCTCCAAAAGATGAAGCTCCACGGCTTAAAACCCTCTATCATTCATCCCCAGACAAGTGCAAGAGTGACACCCTGTCACAAACAATGTGAGCTAAATTGCTAGGTGCCAGTCATATTAAAGCAATCTTAAGATCCCACTGATCTCGGCAGTTGTTGTCATCAGTGCTGTAAATGGCAGCTCTCACTCCTCTGAGGTACCATCTGCATGACACGATACATTCAATGTCAAGCTCTTGACGGAAGCCGACTCAGCTGCGGGGGCTCTGCCAGGCTCCCGAATCGCCTTTAGGAGCCCATCAGGCCGCATCAAGAGCCCGCGCGTACTCGGCGTGCCGCGATCTGGATGGTCGGCAAGGAGCTCATCCAGGGAGGAGAGGAGAGGATTCTCCGTGCCCCAGGCTAGGAACTCACAGGGAAATTTACTGTCAAATGATTTCAAATGACTTTGTTAAGGTTGTGTCACATTCTGGACGCCTGACGTAATTTTATTCATCTGGACATTTTCTTGACCTCTGGAGGAAACTTTAAAACTCTGGTGGGTGGCAATGAATTGTGCTTGTCATTTTTTGGAAGTTGGGAGAGATCCTGAAAGATGGGAGCATGGCTGGGCTGGGGAGGGCTTGCCTTCAAACTCCAGCCAAATTTCTTGGCTACAAAGATACCTGCAGCACTTATTTTGGTGGCATCTCTCACCAATAAAATGTAATTTATTGAAGTCGGGGGACCCATCTATTGGCACAGCGTCTTCCAGTTGCCACTCGGTTTATTGCTGCCCTCTATGGGATTCTGCTCGCTGCCAGCCTGCTCCAGCAGCCCTGCCTGCACCGAGCCTTCCTCCAGGAACAGCTCCAAAAGCTACCTAAGAATAAACTCTATCATTAACACATTTGTGGGAGTAAGACTAAAAGTGATGCTTTAAGCATCTTGCATCCTCCTTAAAACTACCAGCACTGACGGAAGATTGACAAGTAGCAGACCAATAGCAGGAGCACACCAGTGCATATTCCCTGTTCTGAACTTTGCATGCCTACCATCGTATGGGCAACACAAAAATTAAAAAGATTAACACGAAGGAATCTAAAAATAACCCAGTGCCCCACAGCACAACATTCAGACTCCTGTGGTGCTCATTCAGTCGTACTTGCAGTATGTTGCTGCCATCTCCTGGAGAAACTCTGGAATGTGCTTTATTTATGGGAAAATCCTAGAGATCTGTCTGAGCAGTAAGGATTTGATTTCTCTATGTTAGAGAGCCTGAACTTCAGGGACTGCATGATAAATGCAATTCCTGAAATGAGTCAGTGCTAACCTATGCTGACATTTATTGAAAACCTTAATACCACTAATTCTTTTTTTCCTTCTCCTGTATGGTCTATAGCAACAGGTAAATTTATCAGTAGTTCATCTGTTCTCTGACCCTGAACATTATGTCTAAATTTTGGTCTCTTCTTCATATACAATTCCACTCCTCTTTGGACCCAGGAAATATTCTTTTGCCCTAGCAATAAGACAAACACATCAGCACAGTGGCAACATAGGGAAAAAGGCATTTCAGAGCTTGTATTTCTCATGTTAAAGGTTATAAACAGCAGGTGTAGACAGTAGGCTCTGGTGGAGCCATCCCAGGACAGAGGCAAAGCAAACTGGTCTCTCCTGTTAGGATGCACAGGATTTCCTTGAAAGAACATTGTTACCAGAAGAGACCTTGAAGAGAAACCTACAGGTGGGTCTACAACATGCAGTGAGCCAGGTTCACATCCTACTTCTTTACTCACACAGCCCAGAAGCCCAAGCTCAGGAATGCCACAAAGCTTACTGGCAGGACCAAGCAAGGATCAGGCTGGAGAGAGGACAAAGCTAATGATGGCCTCTGGAAGAGATGCCAACTGTGCCATGCACAGTGCCTGCACCTAAACGACTCAAGCTACTGACTTCAAGGACTGACAGACCAGCCTGTGTGCCCTATCCTGCTGCCTAGAGCATTTACTGCTTGGGCTCAGACAGAAGTTGGTGCCATGGCCACAAGTGCAATGTGTCTCCCTCCATTTACAGGCAGTGGTAAAGCCAAGCCCAAGAAAATGGGATTCTAGAAAGCTCAGTATGTCACAGTTGTGCTTTGCTGCTAAACAGCACCACAGGGTCAAGAGGAGATTGCACTTGCCTTTCATCAGTCCCCCAAAATACTGTTTTACAGAGCCTGCTCTCTGTAAAGCTCAAAAGTGGCCAGACAAGTGAAACAGTTAATAGCAGAAATTAATCTTACAGCCTGCTGAGTTCACTCTGAACCATAGCTGAGTATGAGAGTGAGCGAGCAGATGGGATGGGCAAGATGAATGGTTTGAGTAATTGGAAAAAACACAGCTACAGAGAGGAAACTGAAGGAAGACAGAGGAGAAATCTCTGCCCAGTGAGGGACAAACTCTCAAAGCAGCTGGGATTTCATCCAGGGACTCGATGACAGCCAGGAAAGGAGCATCTAAGGAAGCTGAACTGAGAGAAAGTAAAAGAAGGGAACTAATCCAAGGCACCCCTGGTTGGTTCATTACAAAAAAGGGAAAACACTTGGAGAAATAATTTGAGACAAAAGAACATAAGGGAAAAAACGGTGGGGAAAAAGACAAAGAAATTCAGGAAAGGGGAAGCAGACAGCAGGAGACAAATGCCAAAGTTCACTATTCCCAGGCTACTAAATTAAATCTGACTTTCTTGGCACTTGACCATATTCTGTCACCAGCTATACAATCCAACTGATTAATAAATACAGCAGATATGCATTAACTAGTCCTGACTTTGTCCTGGTTTCTCCACCAGAGACTCCTGCTCTAGCAAGCACTGCTTTCCCCAGGATCCTGCTCAAACCTGTTAATTGTCATGCCTCACACTCTCAACTCAGTCATTTGCTTCCCCTTTTTTACTGTTGACACAACACAGCCCTACTTGGGTTAAATTCTTAAATGGACCTTTTCTAAATTAACAGCATGCATTTTGTCCCAAGGGAGAGAAACCGTGTGAAGATACTGCCAGCTGTAATACAGCTTTCCACTTTGATGGGAGACTCTTGTCCTCTGGTTGCAGCTGTACGTTGCCTCCCAAGCCCTTTCCTGACACAAATGAGCAGAGGAAATGATCTAGATTAAAGAAAAGAACGTGAAAACAACAGTTTTCACATCTCAGCATATCCATTCAGCTCTAAAATACTGCACAAAACAGTTGTCCCAGCTTCTCTCTTCAGGCAGGAGAGTTATGTGCTCTCCTGGGCAGGGCTGTGTGGTGGGACTTCATCCTGTGTGAGTATGGACAGGTACGCAGGACCTACTGCAGCCAGGTGCAACAAACTGCGGCATTAGTTTAACCAGCAGTTTCCAGATATTTTGTATGTATCATCACACTCGATATTTCACAAAAATCACCATCTATGCCTAGTTCTCAGCAATGTTTTCTAAGAGAAAACATTATTTAATATGATTATGGGGACCAGCTATGGGTCATTCACCTCAGCTTGAAGACCACAGTCTAGGACTGCTGGTGTACCACACTGCAGTTCTGCAGAATTATCTTCAATTTCTGGGTGATATTCAGACTTAGTGAACACTTACTTCATTTCATTTTATCCCGAGTCAGCTGAGTTTTGCTAAAAGCAAGAACTGTCACTGTTAGTCTAAATGATACTGAGTTTAGGGAGTCTGTCACTAGAACAATAGATCCAGGCGTAGACACTGCAACTGGTTTTAATCTGCAGAGAGTTGATCTGGTTCCAGCAACATTCTGCAAACACCATCAGACACAATCAGCTGAAAACTGCTTCAAGCTACTCAGCAGACATGTCATCCAGGTACCATGGAGTGTTACTTCCCATATGCTGCCAGAGCACAGAAATGGGGTTATGATAAGAGATGAACAGATTCAGTCTGAAATCTCAGTGTAATTAATTCACTTGCCCTTAAAAATCATTATAAGAAATTTCCTAATGCAAAGACAGCAAACCCACCAGAACCAACCATGGTGTTATTGCCAGTACAGCACATTAGACCTTGCAAAGAATTAATACAAGCTCTGTCAGCTATCAAAAATCCCAGCTTTTGCACGAGGGTCTAATTGGCAAACTGGCTGAAATTTGTGTGCTGTGCTCAAGCAGCTGATGCAGCAACTTAAGAAATACTTACTTACAACATCTGCAATGGATGCACATTTTCTTTCCTAACCAGTGATGGAGAACTTTGCCCTAAATAGCTTAATTGCTTTTGCTTACCACTGCCACTGGCATTACTGTCGCCTTTACGAAGCATTTTCCTCGCTTGTGATGCTGCGGACCATTTCCATCCAAGCTCAGGGCCATATTCTGCCATCATTTTCACACTGCATATCTCAGGATTTAAAATTAGGCAAGTAACGAGTCTCTGCCATGTAATTTACATCTAATCAGTATTCTGCTCTTCTGCTGCTCATCTCAAAGGGTGTCTATGAGAAGGGTGGGCAGTGTACGGAGAGGACTGCGATTCATTCGGAAGGGAAAACTAACCCCTCTTAAATGCACAGATCGGTGCCGGAGGAGCACACACGCTTGCTCTGCCAGCCATGCCATGCCATAACCCTTCCCCGAGTGCTTGAGCCAAATCCACCCAGCAAGGCAGGTGCTGGAGAGTTGAGGCTCAGGTCTAGAAATGACACAAAGGAACTGCTCGCACTCACTACACCCAAACAAATCACTCCTGTATAACCCTTGCAGTTACACAGACACAGAAGGTGCGAGGGATTATTCCACCCAAATTACAAGGCAGTTATTGCTCCTTTCCCCTTTTCTCCAGGGCTTACACAAGCCAAGTAGCAGTGGAAGCGCTCCCAGCAGAGCTGCTTTCTCTCCATACGCGCGCAAAGCCTCCGTTCATGGCGGCAAGGCATCACTGACACAAAAGAGACAAACTGCCATCAACACCTTCCTCCTTGGTGCCACCCATGCAGTTTGGCACTTTTGTGCCTTGTTTAAATAGTTATGAAGAGTTTGAGCATTTATTACCACGAATTTCTTAACCACTGGTACCAGAAGACAGAGTAGTACCAGCCAATAGCACTGAAGGAACCAATGCTGTGTCCATCTGAAAGAGGGAGAGAGCACAAGACCACGAGGGGGAGGTTATTCTGCAAGCAGCAGGAGAGGAAACAGCTGCAATAGAACATGCTACAGGTAAGGGACAGAGACAAGGGATCAGAAAGGAAATGTGTAGTTACTCCTCCAAACAGCCCTGCCCTCCTGGCAGTGTCAGGGACTGACCAGACCACTACCTGCCAAACAGACTTTATGATTTGGGCTCTGTCTTTCAGCTCTGGTGCAGACAGGAGCCTGGTGTGGATCAAGCTCCTGAAAGAGGGGCTGCTCCTTGTTCATTCTCTGTAACAAGGGCCAGCTCACCTTCCTGCAGGGGTTATTTTCTGCCTCTGGTTTAGCAGAGTTCAGAGCATCCTGGACATCAACACCTTTACTGCCAATCCCTGTTCGTATCAGCACCCATCCTTTGCATTGCATGAAAAGCAAATGACAAACATACGGACAGCAAAGTATTTTTATTCCATCTTTATTGCCTGCTGACATGTTCAATATGCTCAAACTACATCTGAGGGACTGCATAGAGAGTGTTTCTTGTTTATATTTGATGTACGGCAGAACACTTTACATTGCACCAAATGTTGAGCAAACGGTAACATAACAGAGAAGCTGCAGTGGCAGCTGGAATTTCTGAGGTGGGCTACAGAGACTCTCTGGGGGCAAAAGTCTGCTCATCTTATTCAAATGAATTGCTTTTCTGGCCAAATTCTGCTCTGATATGCCAACTGACGAATACAGACCTAGTAACATGAGAAAACATGGAATAACTCTGAGAGCTTCAATTCCACAGCAAGCTGAAGAATATATAGCAGCTAAAAACCAGAGAAGCAACTGCAACCACACTGAATGGCCAGAAGGCTCTGAGAGAGATGAGGGAATCCATGTCCAAACCTGCAAACCCTTGCACAGAAGAGTATCAACAGAATTATTTATGGGAGAAATGAGGTTAGGAAAAATGACTCTGCTTTGGAGCATCCCTGTTCACAGGGAAAAAAAGAACTGAGAACTTGGTCTAACAGGACTGAATTGTCTCTCAGGGAAAAGCAATACCAGTTGCACTACAGGTGATCATGGACTGCCATACCACTTCTAACTTCATTTCAGAACATAATAAAGGAAACATACAGAGAAAAGCAACCCTTCAATCTCTGCCCAAGAACAGGATCAGTATATAATGTTCCCAAAAGGGAAAGGCAGACAGAGGCATCCTGTGGCTGCTCTACACTACCTCCCCGCTCTGCGTGGCCATTTTGACCCCATGTGGAATACAAAATGAGCACTTAAATTGTCTCTGCTGGTCATACTTGGTTATGGGAATAGGTACTCAATGGGTCTCTCTAAATAGCCTCTTACTTACATGGGTCCTACACATCATAAATCCCCTTTACTTCCTATGGACGGATGTCCTTATCTGCCTCATAGTTTCATGCTACGGAAGCCAGCAAAAGGGCTAAAAGGGGAATAAATACTATTAAATTTCCTACTGAGACAGCTGAACTTGGAACAATAATTAGCACAACAGAAACAGCTTATACCAGGTATTTAGGACCAGAGAAAGCAGGTGTCTAAGGTGGAAGAGGGACTGCTTGGACTCCTGCCCTTACCAGCACAGAACAGACAGCACACAAGCATGCTCCAAATGTGGAGTCTGGTGCCATCTCTGTTCTTACACTTTGCCCCTCTACAACTGACCTGCCATCTGCTTCAGCAGCAGCAGGGTTTTACCCTCTGACCTGATCAGTTTGGATCTGTGTTGCCACAAGATCTCAGTTGGATCCCGTGTTATTCCATCAGAGCATCTCTGTGTTGCTTCCATAGAAAACCCTGAACACAGGCTTTATTCCTCACACAACACACCCTGAGAGTGCAGAGAGGAGGGGGACAGGTGGACCCAAGAGGGCTGTGACTTCCTTAGGCTGGTGTCACCCACACTGGGGCCACACACTTCTATGGCCAATGCAGTGGTTTCACCTGCTCTTGGAAAGTGAGGGAACACCTAACACACAAAGTACTGACCAGATCCTTTTGGGTTACAGAGGACATCTGCCTGTTTCCTTGAAATTCTTAGCAGTAGTCAAATATACAGGTCTACTGAAACTGGGAGGGCAAAAAGTAAAAACAAGAAAAAAGGGAAAAAAGGAAGACACTGCAAAATGGTGACTGCAAAATGATCAGTGAGAGCTGTAGACAATGAGAAGCAGTAATAAATGTGAAGGCAAGATAAATGCCAAGAATGATTTGTTTCTGACTCTGACATAGCCACTGATAAAACTTCAAATGGGCTCCAAATTCAACCTGGACGTTCAAAAGTGAGCCAAAGAACCTCCAACCAAGACAGACTGAGCTTCCTCCTCACCTCATTAATTCCTCATTAAAATTGATTCTCCATTTTATCAAGCATTCAAGCGCATCTGGAAACTCATGGCTGTAAGTCTGCAACTGGGATATCCTTGAGAACACCCATACATTTAGAAAAGAATCCATGATTAACAGATACACTCCACAGAACCACAGCTCAGCTCAATCACATGGCACTGAAAATGGCCAGAGGACAGACTCAAGTATCTCATGCTGTGATTTAAGATCACCTCTAGTTACATCTGTTACCTGGACCAGGACAAAGAATCGTTTCTTCCATCTCTTCCAAACATTTTTACCAATGGCCCATAAATACCTAGGAGAAAAGAACAGGTAAATTCAGTACACAAGTGTCAATCTGTTCTCTTGCTTTTCAGTATACTTTGTTTACACTTAGAAACTGAAGTTCACGCACAAGGAGTAATTACAAGATTCTCAAGCTCAGCAGCATTCATGAATGGGTTTATTTGTAGCCTGAACAAATTACCTGCAAAGAAACAGACGTAAAAATCTTACAGAGTCTTAGTGTTACAGTATTAATTCTCTCTTTCCCTTTGACTTTCACAACTTGCTCAGAATTTGAAGCCCTTTAGTGCCAGTGAATAGCTATAACATGGTTGGATGGACAAAGAATGCATTTGTAATAGAAGAATTAAGGAAGAGAATCCCCAAATCTGCTTTAGCCTTCATAAAACCATTTTGCTGAGGGGAGCTGTCAAACAGAGGGACACTTCTTACATCAAACCCAGTACACAGGATCTCATGCACTGGACTGACTAAACCAGGACACTTCACTGAGCAGCTCTAAGACGAAATCTGAGAAATTGCTTGGCTATAGATAATTCAAGCAAACTGAATAATTTCTGAGGAGGAGTGAATTTACTGTTTTCTACAAAGGAAGAATTAACTTTTAAAATGAATGTCAAAATAAGCATTTAATCTCTGTGATGAATTGGCCACTGTGATACTGTAACACAAACACTGGCAAAACTAGCAGCAGCACCAGGCTAATAATAAACATAAGGATATTATTCAGCATTAATATGTTTTATGTATCATTATAATTACTTTAGTTCTGGCTCAATAAATAGAAAAAAATACTTTATTTTTGGTTATGCAGGGGGTTCCTTATGCCAGAAGATACCATACTCTTGGTGAAAGTTTAAACAACAGAACACCACGTCATGCTGATGTGGGCTTTGAGTCCTCAGCTAGTCCAAGAGGAGGATAATAAGTGTCCTTTTGGCTACTGCTCATAATCTCAGTTCTGGGAGCAAGGGCTACAAACCTCAGAATTTTAAGCAGTATCATGTAAATCAAATATTACTTGAAGAAAGCTAGGGAACAGCCCTGCTATCAGCTGAGGTCAAGGAAATAAACAGGACAGAGGAACTGTCCTCTCTGGCTTTGGTGCCTGTAATCATGGTGAAAAAATTAAACTTCACACAAGACTACTGTGTCTGATCTCATCAGCAGAGAAAACAGGAGGAAGAGGAATTAGAAAAAATGAATTATCTAAATTACTTTCTAATGGATGGAATTTAACAAAACACTATGAAAACAAAAGGGAAACAAAGTCACTTTTATAGCACCAAAAACAGACTGGAGAGTTATTTCCAACAGTGACTTTCCTGGGTAGTTTCCATTTTTTGTCAGCTCTGAAGAGCAATCAGAGCCTTGCCAATGCCTTAATTAGATCTTCCCATGGATGATCTAATTTGTAATTATATGAAGGTAGAAGTGGTCAGGCATCCCTCTGGCCCCAGATCTTCTGACACTCTCTCCTGGAGGAGAAAGGTATCCCTTTTAACCTTCACAATTATTAGTCCTACACCAGGCAACTGCTATTTAATTGTGGTGTGTATTTCACTCTAAATAATGCCGGTCACACTGAGGTTTATTTCAAGTGGAAAGGCCACTGTGATTTTGGTTTTGAGAAATCAATACAGGGATACACAGGAATAACTTTAAAAATTGTATTATTCTCTGTAAGAGAGTTAGGCAGTTCAGTTATTATTTCTCACAGGAAAAAACATCATTTCCTGTGAGGAAAACTGTTTAAAATTTAAACTGTTTGGCTGATATGCATTAAAAAAGTCTATGCTAAGAATATGGGAAGTGCACTATAAATGACTGAACTAATGCCATTTTTATATTTATCTTTCTGCTTCACCTCCTGTGAACTTGAGAAAAAGAGTTTCTCTTTCAGCATCTTAAAAAAAGCGAAATTTCCTAATGCACATTCAAAACAAAATTACTTTAGATTGAGACAAGTGTTTACCCAGAGTGCTTCATGTTTTGAGGCTTATCCATTCGCACAGCAAGCTTGATCTTCAGGTCTTGATCTGGGCAGTTTTTGGAAACAGTCATTTTGTGCCACTCTGACTGCTTTGGGCTGTTAGGAGTAGGGTGGAGAACAACCTGTAAGAATTAAAACCAACAATGTTAAAGGGAAAAAATTATTCACAAAATGGGGTTTAATGTGGAACAGAAATACATCAGATGACCTAGTTTTGTCCTGGAAGTCAGTCTGGATATATCTATTCACATCAATGAGGATGGCTTTTTATTGCTTTTTTAAAGTGCAGCTTATTATTTTGAGATTAGGTCATATATTCTTTGGCTCCTCAATTAGCTCATGGTGCTGTGCAGACAGAGCTGCATGATCAGTTCCTATCAGCTCAGGATGGTACATCTGCCTGAGCTACAACAGCAGATAAAAGCTGCATCCCATGTCATGGCATGAGAGGCTGCAGGACTCTGCTTCCATTTCATGCAGCAGGAAATGCTGGGAGGGTCTCCAGCTGGAGCACATCCATGCAACACCAGTGGCTACAGATGAACACCAATGCAAGCACTTGGCCCAAAGAAACTGAAAGCTCCAAGAGGTGAATAGTCTTTTCTGATCATAGCTTTCCCATTCATCCATTATCACTACAAAGCAGACCAGTCCCCTGGAGAGTAAGATATAGAGTATTCCCCTAGGACAACACCACATCCACCATCTTCTCCTGGTATTTCCGTGTTTCCTCTGAGGTGGCCTAACCTCCTTCCTTGTATATCTGCTCCCCTTCTGATGCTTTCACTCTCAGAGGTCATTTTGCCTGGTACAAATTTATTTTAGTTTCCTCTGTGCTGTAGTGAGATGAATCTTCCTTAAATCCATTAATCTTTATGCAAGCAAATTGTTTCACAATTCTTACAAATGGCAGCATTCACCCTCATTAACTGATGTGCTGCCATCACTCATTTCGTGCTCATGCTTAGTCTATGCTCCTGCCAAACTCCAGCCCAGACTAGAATGTTGTATTCCTCTCCTCTTCAACTCTGCTGCTGAGTCAACAATCTAGGGGCTGTTTTCCACCAAAATATCATTGATGCTATTATCCTCTGATGAATTGCTCTAAAACTTATTTTATTGCCTCCTCTAAAGCCTGAGGTAAACATCAGTATATTCTCAACTTTACCCTTATCCATTAATGTTATTTATCACTTCTTTTATTGAATTGCTGTCTCTGTTAGGAATCTGAAGCTGTTATTAGTCACACAGATAACCGGGCAACACCAGTCTGTACTGCATCACTCTTGGCAGAAAACACATTTAAGCAAATTCTGAAGATGAGAAATGAGTTCTCCACATGAGGCAGGCGGTGTTAGAAGCATGACAGACCCAAGCTCTGAGCAGCATCCAAAGAACCCCAGTGACAGACAGGTCATGCAAGAACATACACCTGCACTAAGCTGCATCTCTTAGCGAGGCAGCAGACACTCAGTGTGTTTGGGATGCTCTCTACTTTGATTCTAACTCTTTTTTCAACAAAAGACACAAACATTTCTCAGTGGTTCTGCAATTCACAGCTCTTCCCCTCCTTGCCCTCAGCAGATGAAGTACTGGCATGGCTGAAATCCACGGGAGCCCTGCCATCGGCTTCAATAGGGTCAGGATGTATTCCCATGCCTTCAGCTGCCCATTCAGCAGTGCAGGGCTTGGGAGCATTTTCCAGTTCTCTCTTGGATAAAAGTGGCGAGCTGAGGAGTGGCGGCCGGTTGCCAACTTAACACTCGCAATAGAAAGTGGGCTTTGTACCCGCCTGGCAGAGCACAAAGCCACTGCTCAAAGGGCGGCTGAGCAGGGTGTTTTGTGTATAAAACCTGCTTTCCTCCTCTCTCCATGCAGGCAGGTTCCTGCCCACTCCAACAGCTAAACCAGGGGCTTAACACACTCCCGGTTTCATTATTACTTTAAAGAAGAAATCTTGATGCAGCCTGAGCAGACACGCGTCATCTTTCGGCTGCTCCGGGCACACTGAGCATCCCTTTGAAGTTTGGCCGACTGAAAGCACTGGTGGCCACGGGCCAGGAGGAATCATTGCCAGCTCCCCACACTTGCTGGCCTATGTCCTTCAGCCTGCAGAAACTCAGGGCTGAGGGATGGTTTCCCGCTGGACCAGGAATTAAAGCACATTGGTAGGGCTGGCTCATCAGCCTTTCAGGGCAAGAGGGGTTGCTTTGGGTGCTGACATCTTTCTCAGAACAACATGCACACCTAATTGCTTCCCAAGACCAGCAAAGTCAGCACTGCTCATGGCTGCCAGTGGAAACAAGATTTACAAAGCAAAGGGGGCTGCACTGAGTGTAACCACTCAGGGGAAAATCCCTGAATGGCAGTGTGGCCGGCTGGGTGAAAAGCTCTGCTCAGCATGCCACAGCGGATAAAGGCCGGGTGCCAGGCTGTTTGAAGTAGGAGGTTTTGAAAATAATCCTGAAAATATTATGATGCTGTGCAGCAAAACAATTGTAGGTCTTCAGCTGTGGTACTGCAGCCTAGAGGGGTCATCCTTTTTGTCAAAAAAAGGAGGACAGGGAGAAAGCAAGGATCAAGGTGTGGATGAGGAAAGTCTGAAGGGGCTATTTGAAGAGAAGACTGAGAGGAGAAAAGAAGGGGTAGCTTTACTTTTCTCTCTCTCAAGTGCAAGAACGAAGGATACTTCATGAATATGAAAACACAAATAATTAAAATGAAAATTAATTACATGAGAAAAAATTGCATGCAGCATTCTCCACCATAAAGCTATAAATTTAAATCAACAGCTCACTAGGACCTAAGGATGTTTGGCACTTTTATGAACAGGATTAACACAAAACCATGTTAATTGGGAAAAATGTTGAATGGACACAGACTCTTCCTTGTCAAGGCACAAACAGCCAAGGAGTTAGCAAGAAACATCCCAACAAGTTAGTCCATAACTGGAAATACCATTCTTGGGCTTGTGACAGGATCAGTGGCTTTCCTGACCATGGATTTTTTAGCCATAACCATACAGACAGGAAGGAGAGCAAAGAGTGCTGCAGGGCTGGGCAGACAGAGCCCACGCTGCCCCTGGAGATCACCTGGGTCATGCTGAGCCATGACAGGAGGTGACAAATCCTCTTCCCCCAAACTGATCATCATCATACTGATCTCAGCCTGAGAGGCTGAGGAAGGCATGGCAAGGAGTTTGCTGCCACTTCTGCCTGGGGCCAATACAAATTAAACAGCTGCACAAAATCCATGGAGACTAGTGAAGTGTCCCAAAGCCATAGGAAAGTGCCATCCACAGATATTCTGGAGCTGTGGGCTGCAGGGATCAAGGGCTACCAGTGCCAGGGCACTGGATTAGGGACCACAGGTGAGGGGCAGAGATGGGGTGGGAATGTTTGCTCTGTGGCCAATACCCTGGGAATCTAAAATCTTTGCATTAACACCATTGATGGGAGCAATGAACCTTCATGTTTCACTCCCCAGTCCAGCCTCACTAAAGCCACCAGCTCAGCCACCATCCATCCCCAGGGAAGCCAGAGCTCCAAGCCTTTTGCAGGGAGTACTGCAGTCAGTGCTTTCAAAAGCTCAAACCATGCACCGGCTGCTCAGCAGATATGAGAGAAACTTAACAGTCCCTTGCCAAACTTAAATCCCCTCTTTTTGCTTCAGCATAATCCCCTTTTCTGCCTCAGGAATGTCCATTTCCGCAAGTAACTTTTAAGGCTTTCCAGACTGCCAATATTGCATACAAGATCCTCTGCCTTTGCTCAGAGCAGGCACAGCCAGCTGAAATGCTGCCATTAGAAACTCACAACAAAGACAGCATGCGGGATGCACTCCTTTCCAGCAGCGAAGCGCTTGCTTTCTTTCCCCCTCCTGAAGCTTGGCATAAAAGCAGAGCATGTTGTGCTCCAAAGATATTTCTGTACAGGAGAGATTTCTCTAGAAGAGCAGGGCCAGAAAGAAACATTATTAAAATCAAAATCTCCTTACCCTCCCAAGCTCCTTATCCTCCAGAGCCAGAACTCCTGTGCTCTCCGTGAACAGCTTCACCTTCACTGCAGGAAGTGCGTGGGTTGTCGTGAAGTCTCCTTGGGTGCCCCAGCTGTGAAAAAAGGACATAGAGCAGTTCAGCTCAGCTGGCAGGTCAGCAGCAACACTCAAGAATGAAATAGTTAACCTAAAATGTGTCTGACACAAGCCAATGTGGTTGGGTTGTGTGAGTGACAAGGGCATTAATTATCTTCTTTGGGAAATATGGAACAGATGTTTGGAAAACCCATGATGGTCCTTGGGGGAAAAAAAGAGAGCATCTGGGAGCAGCATGAAACCAAGTTTAAGAGAACTTTCTTATTTAGAAAGAACAATGTCTCCTGCAGTGCCAGCCTGTATGGTCACAAGAGAAGTAGAGGACTGAAGACATCTGCACCCAGGATGTCTGTAATCACTCATGCCTGTGCTTCTCTCTTGCCTAATTAACCTCTCCCTTCCAGGCTGAGTGAGGTTTGCTTTTTCTGAAGAAATTGCAACCTAACCTGGGTTGCTTTCCAAGTCTAAGCCCAGCCCAGTCTAAGTCCAAGCCATTATGTCTGGAGGAATCTTAGTTTGCTAGGACTGCAGAGCAGGACACCAGCTCCTTCTGGGTGGGACTGCAGTGGCCAGGAAGACATCATCTCTGCAACCACACCACGATCCACTGTCTACTATTTGTACTCTGTGAGTCATTCCCTGGCTTGGAAAGGAGTGCTGTGGAGGATGAATTATCCACAGCCTCTAGACATACATGCCATCTATAAGTTTCTGCAATCACAAGTTGCCCAAACGCACATAAAACATGAACTCGTTCCATGTGGGACCCTGCCAAGAGTGTGCCAGGAGCAACACCTCTGAGTGATGTGGTGGAACACACATTGCAACCCAGAATGCTTCAAGCCAGATGAGAGATTATGCCATAATTCACTAACCACTTCTATTCAGCCTCACTCTGTTAATCACACTTCCTCACTTTAGGCTCTCCTCAAATTAAATCCTCTGCTGCAGAGAGGCAGGTCCCTTGAAAAGGCTCAGAAGACACAGCCAAGTGACTAGATGTTCCTCAAAGATGAACACCAAGCAGCAGGTTTAGCATTTGGAAAATTATCAGTAAAAATAATTCACCTTGTGCTCTAGGAATATGGGTTTATGCTTTGCTCCCCACTGAGCAAATCTTGTCCAGCCAAGCTCAGCAGATGAGTGTGTTTGGCACAGAGCTGATTAACAAACTTGGGTTCTCCATCAGCTTTGCTCTGAAGCTTCCTCTCCTGGTGTCACTGTTTCATATGTTTTGTTTTTTATGATGCTGCAACAAACTGCCACCGGTGCCAGAGAGCAGAGGTTTGGCTTATAAGTACTGTTAGTCCAGTCAGGTCCTTTATATCATATCTTTTTCATATGTGAGCCATCAGCTATCTAATAAGTGTTTTGAGGGTAAGAAGCAAGAAACAACTTAATTTTCTAATCACAGTTCCAGATCACAGGTTGTTTTCTCTCAAAAAACTGCTTTGTCACCAGGAGGGAAAGTAGGATGACTATCTTGCTTTGGGTAAGAGGCAAAAGTAAGAAAATATCCAACCTTACACTGTGTATTTTGACAGCATCTGCTTTATAGAACTCGTATCTCTGTTTACTATTAAAAAGCTCTTATTTGCTGAAGCATTCCCAGACCATATGTTATCAACAAATGTTACTAACCAAATACAAACAGTAATTTTCATTAGGTTTCCTTCATGGGAACAACATTAACCACAAAGAGAATAAATGTTTCAAATGACAGCAAACATACATAGCAAACCCTTGACAGCACTGGTGCTTACATATTCATACCCCCAAAAGCCCTGAAAAGATCTGTGCCAACAAATGGAGACCATCAAAAGTTGAGTTTTGTGCTGGTTGGAGCCTGTGGTGATGTCATTAGTTGCCATAGTGATACTCAGCATAAGGCCATAATTCATGCCACTGAAACACAATTTGTATTCAATCTGAGTACCCAGTTTATCTGGGCTGTGTATTAAATTATTGTTCAGAAAATTAGCTCTGGACAGTAGCTAGGTATTAGGATCTTCTGAGGGACTAACAGTGTAATGGTTTCATTTCCATATTTAATCATTAAGCAGGTTATCACTGCAGGAGCTCATTTGTTGGGAGAGTGCACTGGGACCCATTGTGGACAAATGCCATGCTATTTTGTCCCCCTATCACAAAACTCATGCTGACACTTCAAAGCAATAAAGCATCTGCAAATGCAGACAAACAAATGTCATTCTGGCCAAAAGGATACACACATACAGATGGATACATATGGATGTACAAACACCACAAAAAAAGGTACACAAGCAGAACAATCCTGACAGTACTTCCTCAGTCAGGAACATATTAACTATCTGAATCCTGCCTCAACTCCTCAGCATTTCTTATTGGCCAGTGGATCCCAAAGTCTGGAACTGATATAAAAATGCTGCTGTGCATAGCAAATTTACTGGAATCACTGCCCTGTTTATGGCATCTGTGCTGTTCCAGTGCTATCACCAGGATCTACTTTTGTCTCCAGAGTTTCTATTTAGGCATCAAACTTAGGATAAGCAGCTAAACTCTTTGGTTTTAGTGCCAGAGGTTGAGATATGCCCCAGGTGCTAACTTGACAGATGCTGGCCCTTGTTTTACCTTTTACAAGTATAATAAGGAGATCATCACTGCAGACTTTGTGTCTACAGATTCACATAGAGGTGCCATCACAGTTACTGACCAAACAGCCTAAAGTGCTAGGATTTTATCCTGAATGGAACACAAAATGACATATATCCAGAGGGTGTGAGTGGCCAACAAGTAACAAAGGTCAGCTCTTGTCTCCCATTACATCCACAGCCTCATGGAGAACTTGAAGGATGGGCTCACCTATCTGATTTCAGGAGCATTTGGGAGCATAGACACTGCCCTTTCTTGCATGTGGGGGCAGTGATGCCATTGCCAGTGCTGCTGCTAGGCTGCTCAGACCTAGCTGCTCTCAGCTGTCTTGCACTGCTGATCTGAAAAACCTTCAGGCTGATGCTATTCAGCCATTCCCAATTTATGACCAAGATCTGTAAGACCACTCTCCTCCCATTGATGCTGTACCAAGCTCTTACCTTTTCTTGCCATAAGGTCACTTCAGAAACAACTGCCTTCATCCTATGGAAGTGCAGTGCTTTACTGAACTTTGGCTGTAGGGCTGAGGGCTTCTAAAATGCAGATACAGCAATTATAAAGCTAACTACCACACAGCTAACAGACAAAAATATTAAAACACCATGGCACTGCTATGCTAAAATTAATGATTGAAATACTATTTGGGATATGAATAAGGCTTGAGCAAAATCCTGTAAAGATCCCTGTCCTGACTGCACTCATGTATCACATGAAACCAGACAGGAGGGTCTCTGACTTCAGCTGCTTTTCTTCACAATATCCCACTTAAGTGACCTACAATTTTGTCAGCTGTACTTGAGAGACAATGATTTAGTAATTTCTGTTGAACTCTAGTATGTTTGTCTAAAGGAAATTTTAGCACCCATGATCTTTCTAAAAGCAAACATACACATTTGATACCCAGGAAAATTCGTTAAATTCACTCATATACTGTGTTCTCCAGCAAGTCTGCTCTGCCCCTGCCTAATTTAAAACAGTCACCCTTCTTCCATCAATGCTCTGGTAACTTGATGTAGCCAGAACACTGATGCCTGTGATTTATATAAACAATGAACAAATGCAACTGGGTTGTATTGCTGGGCCATGAATCAGCCCTGCTAACCAGGCTGACAGGGGAGCAGCTGCAGAGCCGTGTGCTTTCACATCTTCTACGACTGCTTCTCATGGGCTTCAAAACTACCAGAGGATATCTTTTATCCCTCTCCAGCTTGCAAGGAATAAACATAAAAAAAACCAGAAAATGAAAGTAAAAATGTGTACTAAAGGAGAGCTAAGCTGTCCCCTCAGTGGGTTCACTCCAGGTGTGCATGATGCTCAATGGACACGGCAGTTTCCTTGGACAGATCTCTGCTGGAGATGCTGCCCTTCTGCCTTCCTCCCATATATTCACCACTTAAGTAAAAAAGTCTTGCAGAATAATATTTCTACACATTGGCTAGATTTGCAGGAGTTTAGTGAGCCACCTGTTTGGTATAGTTTTCCCAAACTAACCAACTCAGCAGCAATGCCTGTCCCCTCCCAAGACAGGAACACATCCTTGGGAAGGTAGGGACATGGCAGGCAGCTGCTTCCACCCCTGCAGGGTTACCAAAACCAGCAGTAGCATCACCTACCTTCCTGCACAGCTAGCTGGCTGTGAACAAGGGCACAGAGGTCCAGCTGAAAGGAGTTTAATATACATGACTATGTTTGGGACAACAGTTGCAAGGACAGCTTAGCCTCCCTTGCTGTCTTCTACTGTCAGAGTGGGATCTGGTGAGGATGACTGGCAAGTCTGGCTGCCTCCCTCCCTTGTGGAATGCTGGTGGAGGGGGTTGTGCTTCAGGTACTTATTTTTATTTACAACCCTCATCTCTTTTCTTCTGGCATGCCTGTGTCCCTCCAGGTGTACTTGTAGCTAGGTCTCCAAAGTGAGCTGGCTGGTAAAGCAAAGTTTATCAAGAGGGCAGCACTGACAGTAGCCTGACAGACACTGCCTGGGCTTGGTGACTGCTTCACCTTGTGTGGTGTGATGCTTTTAATCCAGCCTTGGTTTCTCAGCTTACTGTGGTGCTCAGACACGGTCCCTGCTGCTTCTGGATCCTGCTCTGAGGATGGAGAGTTCAGATCCCACTTCATTGCTGAAGACTGAAATGCTACATACAGCCTCAATTTAGTTCTCCCAGAAATCCTGTCTAACAAATGATGGTTTTATTACTTCAGCACACTCCTCCCCTCCCAGAAGAGACCTTTAAATCATGGGCCATAAATCATGTATGCCCATGCTTGAGTACCGGGAAAAACGAAGCAGAAGCACACCAGGCACTGAGCTAACCTACCTTCATGCAGCTGATGGAGTAGTGTACCTTTTCCTCTAATGTAATGCTAAGCTGTGTTTCTTTTCTA